CAGAGTCTGATGAACATCACCCCGGACTTTTCCAGAATCCTCCTGCTGGACTTTTATTAAACTGGGATCAGGTCTGTGTGTGTACAGTGTGTGTGTGTGTGTGTACAGGTCTGTGTGTGTGTGTGTGTGTACATGTGTGTGTGTGTGTGTACAGGTCTGTGTGTGTGTGTGTGTGTGTGTGTGTGTACAGGTCTGTGTGTGTGTACATGTCTGTGTGTGTGTGTACAGGTCTGTGTGTGTGTACAGTGTTTTGATCCAGAATACAGTTTTTGTTGCTTAATGGTTCATTTAGTCCTGGTTTAGTTCTGGTATAAACCAGGATTAAACCAGGATTAAACCAGGACTGAACCAGGACTGAACTAGGAACTAAAGCAGGACTAAAGCAGGATTAAAACAGGACTGCCTAAAGTCTTAAAAGTAAAGGGAGTTTTTTTTAATCATTATTTTGAGGTGAGATTGTTTTGTTTTAAACATTTGGAAAACGTCTCCAGGCTCCGTGCCCCTCGTGGCTCCGCCGTCACATTCGCCGTCACACTCGCCGTCCGCTTACCCTCGCTCCTCGCCGTCACACTCGCCGTCACACTCGCCGTCACACTCGCCGTCACACTCGCCGTCACACTCGCCGTCTGTTGGCCCCGTGTTTACGTCTGTCTCCATGGTAACCACCAGCTGCAGCCGCGGAGGCGAGACGAGCCCCGCGGGGAAAGACTCGTGAAGCTGGTTTGAATTTCAAAAATGTCTAAACACCCAAATAATCCGTCCAGCTTCCTGTTCACGGGCGCCATTTTGAGGACCTCAGACCGTCCAGAGGATCAGATGTTTGTTTTGATTTGTTAATTGTCACGGCAACAGTGTGATCAGTTTTAATCATTAGAACTAAAGACCAAGAAACAACAGGACTAAACCAGGACTGAACCAGGACTAAACCAGGACTAAACTAGGACTAGAATTCAATCAGAATCCATATGGTCTAAACAAAACTAAACTAGGTCTGAACCGAGTCTCAGGACTTAAGTTCGTAGAACTATACCAGGACTAAACCAGAACTAAACCAGGTTTTAATCAGAGCCAATACGATCTAGACTAAATGAGGTCTGAACTAAGTCTCGATTAAACCAGGACTAACCAGGACTAAACCAGGACTAAACCAGGACTAAACCAGGACTAAACCAGGACTAAACCAGAACTAAAACAGGTCTAAACCAGGTCTGAACCAGAACTAAACCAGGACTAAACCAGGATTTTATCAGTTTAAATTGTCTAAACTATCAATATAAATGAATAATTGGCCCATTAAAACAAAACAAAAATACATAAATAAATTAATTAATTACTACTACTACTACTACTAATAATAATAATAATAAAACAAATTGAAAGTGATAAATAAATACTGAAAGTTTGTATAAATAAAACATCAGCCGCGTCATAATTACAAACATGTTTATTGATAAAATCCATGTCAAAATAAAGCAGTAAAAATTAAACTGGTGAAGTTAAAATGATCAAAACTTCCATCGAATCTGGTGCAGTTTTTGACACAGGAAACAAAAACCTGAAACACAAACGAGAAAAAAACAAAGTGTGAGATTTATTTGTCCGTAAATATAAAAGACGTGAAAATGAAAATTTAAACTCATAAACACGAAAACAAACCTGGATTTATTTGTAAGTGTGACTCTCGGTTCCACCGCGACCGAAACCTGAACAACACAAACATTTACAAACCACATTTAAAGATCTAATGTGGAACTTTTCTGATGGAGGCTTTGACAAATGATTTTTTTTCTCCATGGAAAAAAACAGAACTAAACCAGGACTAAACCAGGACTAAACCAGGTCTAAACCAGGACTTAAACCAGGACTAAACCAGGACTAAACCAGGACTAAACCAGGACTAAACCAGGACTAAAGTAGGTCTAAACCAGGACTAAACCAGAACTAAACCAGGACTAAACTAGGTCTAAACCAGGACTAAACCAAGACTAAACCAGGACTAAACTAGGTCTAAACCAGGACTAAACAGGACTAAACTAGGTCTAAACCAGGACAAAATCAAAACTAAACCAGGACTAAACTAGGTCTAAATCAGGACTAAACCAGGACTAAACAAGGTCTAAACCAGAACTAAAACAGGATTAAACTAGGTCTATACAAGGGCTAAACCAGGACTAAACCAAGTCTAAACCAGGACTAAACTAGGTCTAAACAGGACTAAACCAGAACTAAACCAGGACTAAACCAGGTCTAAACCAGAACTGAACCAGGATTAAACTTGGTCTATACAAGGACTAAACCAGGACTAAACTAGGTCTAAATCAGAACTAAACCAGGACTAAATGAGGTCTAAACCAGAACTGAACCAAGTCTGAACCAAAACTAAACCAAGACTAAACTAAACCAGGACCAGGACTAAACCAGGACTAAACCAGGACTAAACCAGGACTAAACCAGGTCTACATTTACAGATGATGTTGAAGTGTTTGAAGTGTTTGTACCTTTCGGTCCGAACATGGCGGCGTAGCAGGGTTTGTGACAGTACGGTTTCCCCTCGTGCTGAAAAACACAAAACACAAAACATCATCAGACGACCGAGAATTTACACGAAGGACAGAGAATCGACCCTGTGACCCTGTGGCCGTGGGGTGGGCGTCTTAAACTCTACTCCACTCTGACAGACGATATGTGGATTAATGTTTTATCTCGGGGAAAGTCCAGATTACGGGCAGGTTTTCGTTCTTATCTGATACTGAAAAAGCCGATTCAGTGTTTTCCGCTGATCTGATTTGATAAAACAGTTTTTCCGCCTCCTTCTTTCCACGGAGATAAAACGGTTTTATGTAAAAGTTCCAGGTTACAACATAAACTCGGTCTGTCGCCACGTAGACGAGAGCGACGCCCAGAGGTTACAGGTCAGATCTGTGGAGAGGAGACCAAAGACTCACCGGGCTCAAAGTCCAGAGGCTAAACCAGGACTAAACCAGGACTAAACCAGGACTAACAGGACTAAACCAGGACTAAACCAGGACTAAACTAGGACTAAACCAGGACTAAACCAGGACTAAACCAGGACTAAACCAGGACTAAACCAGGACTAAACCAGGACTAATCTATCTGATACCACATGAGTATTTTTTGTAATTAAAACTGGGGATGCAACAACAGTAGATTGGACTGGGTTGATTTGACAGAGTAGATTTGAAAGGGTTAATTTGACAGAGTTGATTTGACTGAGTTGATTTAACAGTTTTGATTTGACAGAGTTGATTTGAAAGGGTTGATTGGACAGTTTTGATTTAACAGAGTAGATCTGACAGAGTTGATTTAACAGAGTTGATTTGACAGAGTAGATTTGACAGAGTAGATTTAACAGAGTTGATATAGCAGAGTTGATTTGACAGAGTTGATTTGAGAGAGTAGATCTGTCAGAGATTATTTAACAGATATTATGTAACAGTTGATATAACAGAGTAGATATAACAGAGTAGATATAGCAGAGTTGATTTGACAGAGTAGATTTGACAGAGTAGATTTGACAGAGTAGATTTGACAGAGTAGATTTGACAGAGTAGATTTGACAGAGTAGATTTGACAGAGTAGATTTGACAGAGTAGATTTGACAGAGTAGATTTGACAGAGTAGATTTAGCAGAGTAGATTTGACAGAGTAGATTTGACAGAGTAGATTTGACAGAGTAGATTTGACAGAGTAGATTTGACAGAGTTAGATTTAACAGAGTTGATTTGACAGAGTAGATATAACAGAGTTGATTTGACAGAGTAGATATAGCAGAGTTGATTTGACAGAGTAGATTTGACAGAGTTGATTTGACAGAGTAGATTGACAGAGTAGATTTGACAGAGTAGATTTGACAGAGTAGATTTAGCAGAGTAGATTTGACAGAGTAGATTTGACAGAGTAGATTTGACAGAGTTGATTTAGAGTTGATTTTGACAGAGTAGATATAACAGAGTTGATTTGAGAGAGTAGATATAACAGAGTTGATTTGACAGAGTAGATTTAACAGAGTTGATTTGACAGAGTAGATATAAGCAGAGTTGATTTGACAGAGTAGATATAGCAGAGTTGATTTGACAGAGTAGATATAACAGAGTTGATTTGACAGAGTAGATTTTGATTTGACAGAGTAGATATAACAGAGTAGATATAACAGAGTTGATTTGACAGAGTAGATATAACAGAGTTGATTTGACAGAGTAGATATAACAGAGTTGATCTGTCAGAGTGGGAGTGTTCAGTCTGACCTCTGCGTGTGAGCCCGAGGACAGAGTCTTTCCACACTTGTCACACTTTAGACAAGGCCTGTGCCAGTCCTTCCCCAGAGACGTCACCTTCTCCGCTGGAAAACACAACAAAAACACTTTTACAACACTACAACTTTTACACTTACTAGAATAATCAGATAACCCGATGATTCGATCTGATTTTTGGTGAGTTTGTGTGAACAAGAAAAATCTGTTCATCAAAAACACCTGGTGACACGCGCCAGTGAAGCCCAGGATTTTTAGAGGAACTGTTGTATTTTTGTATTTGAAAGACAAAGTACAAAGAAATTTTAAAGATTCTTTCAATATTTCTCATTTTCGCTTTCGTTTTTGTCTTTTCCACATTAGTTTGGCCTTTTTTTAACTTTCTGTTCCTCGTCAGAACCTGCACATGAGTGAAATATCTGAGAGAAACAGACTAAACCAGGACTAAACCAGGTCTAAACCAGGACTTAACTGTGTCTAAACCAACAAAAACTAAAATTAAACTGTGCTGCTGGAGTGACATTTACAGATGATGTTACAGTGGTTAAAGTGCTGAAACCTTTTGGTCCAGAGAAATCAGATTCTAATCAGATTTCGGTGCATGTAAACATGTAAACACTGATACTGGAGGAAATGTGATAAAAACGTCTCAGAGCAGCTTTAGTTTGATCCTCAGACGTGTCATTATATAAAAAAACAGAACATTTGTGACGTGATTCTAAAGGGACTTGACCAGAGTCCGGTCACGGGGTTAAACTGATCCCATCTGAGGACTGTGGGTGTGGGACGGACTACGTTTCCCAGAGGACTTTGCTGCAGCCTCATAAACTCTCATAAAAAAACTGATAAAAACATGTTTATCTGTGAAAGTGGAAACGCCCGACGACATAAACACACCAACGACAAGACGAAAGTGCAGTAATAAAGTTTATATACTACTAATACTTATACTACTGCTACTACTACAGTTACTACTACTACTGCTACTACTACAGATGAACAATAAAGAGTTATCTAAATCCAATCTAATCCATTTTATTTCTACAGCACATTTCATAAACAAAACAGTTTCCAAAGAGCTGCACAAATACAAATAAAACAAATCTAATATAAATATAAAATAAAACTCGATTTAACGGCACTGATCCTCGAGAAGAAAATAAAATGAGTCAAATTAAATAAGATCAAGAAAAAAAATAAAATAAAAGATAAACAAAATAAATAAAAATAAATGACACAAAGGACCAAGGTCTAAACCAGGACTAAACCAAAGCTAAACCAGTATTAAACTAGGATTAAACTAACTCTAAACCAAGTCGAATCCAGGACTAAATGAGGTCTAAAACAGAACTAAACCCAGACTAAACCAAGTCTAAACCAGGACTAAATCAGCTAAAATCAGGGTAATTCGTTCATGTTTTTTGGTTCCAGTTAAAAGTCGCGCTGCAGATTTTTGGACCATAAACGAACAACTTCACGGAGGCTGATGTTGGAGAAAAGCTCGTTAGAGTCGTCTAAACGAGAAGAAATAAAAGTGAACGTGACTTAAACACGTGAACGAAACAAAACAAACTCCAGCGTTTGTGACGAGGAAACGACTCGAGTGACGTGGGCGTTTTCAGAAACACGTGTGGGTGACGCTGGACGAGAAGAACGAGCGAGATGTTTCTATGCAAACGAGAACATCCCAAAAAAAGACAGGAAAGACGAGTCGCTTTGCATCTGTCATAAAAACTCAGAGACACAAACAGAACGACCCGTGTTTCTGCAGAACGACCTGGTTTACATAAAACATTTGAATGAGACTCGGATCTGTGACCAGACTCTCCCCTCGCACTCCACACTCCACTTCAGGTCCACTGCGCTGGAAAAAACAACAAAAACAAAAGAAAAGTGATGGATTTTTTAAAATTAGCTCATGTTTTTGTCTTTTTGGATCACACAGTTTACAATTTTTAGATGATTTTATGATCAGTATTTTCAGAAATATCATAAAATGCGAGTTCAAGTTTAAAAAATCCATATTACACAAATTTCTGATCTGTTTTCTTTATTTTTTTTCTTTATGTTTTTATTAGAAAAGGTTGACAGCTTTAAAATCAGTCATATATCAGAAAAATCTTAGTCCTTTTCTGTCTTTTTTTTTTAACGACAAAAAGAAAAAACAACCCAAGGTGCCACGAAAAAGGGATACAAACTCGATTACTTTTTCCCAAATCTTATAGACATTTTTCCCTTTGTGTTTAAGCCAATTTTTCCATTTTAAATATTTTCAAAATTAAACCGAACCAGTCCTCAAGTGTTGGAAGGGTTGGATTTAGCCATTCCCTAGTTTTTAATTTCTTACTGGCAGAGTTCAGATCAGTCACTTCTTTCCGGTCAGATTGTGCTCAAATACTCGAGTAACAGAGCTTCAGACAGAGCAGTGCCTACAGTTAGCTTCACTTCACTTGGTTTTCCTCGTCTCGTTCTCTCCTCTGTGTTTTTACGCTGAATGTAAAATGTCGTGTTTACTCTCTGGTCCTGGTTCTGGCCCGAGCTCCTCACACCAGAACCTCACAGACCCGAGGCACTTGACTGAAAAAACATCCAACTCACGAGGAAATAAACGAAACATTTCCTGCACTAATCAGGAGCTCCACTGTGGGAAACGCCGGACAGAAGACAGACAGACGAGAAACACACGAAGACAAGAAACGCAACAAGAAACACGAGAAAACGACAAGAAACGCGACAAGAAAAGCGACAAGAAACACGACAAGAAAACGACAAGAAACACGAGAAACACGACAAGAAACGCGACAAGAAAACACGACAAGAAACACGAAAACGACAAGAAACACGTGAAACACGACAAGAAACACGTGAAACACGACAAGAAACGCGACAAGAAACACAAGAAACGACAAGAAACGCGACAAGAAACACGAGAAACATGACAAGAAACGACAAGAAACACGTGACAAGAAACGACAAGAAAACACGACAAGAAAACACGACAAGAAACACGTGAAACACGACAAGAAACACGTCAAGAAACACGAGAAACATGACAAGAAACGCGACAAGAAACGAGAAACACGAGAAACATGACAAGAAACGCAACGAGAAGCACGAAAAGAAACGCGGCGAGAAACGTGACGAGACAAGAAACACGCCGAAAAACACGACAAGAAACACGAGAAACACCGCGAGAAACACACTAAAAACACGACGAGAAACACGAGAAACACACTAAAAACACGACGAGAAACACAACTACACTGTGAAAAGTTCAGAGCTGCTGTGGTTTGGTCCATTAGACGTCACTGCTTTTACAGACCACGAGTTTCCACGGGGCCACACGAGAAACAGAAAATAATGTGGAGGCCGGGACCAAAATTCTTAACTAATTTCTGCATTATTAGAATTGTATTTCTTTATTTTTAAAAAAGCAGGAAATCTCGTTGTTTTGTTGAGCTGCTCAGAATTCAGATTTTAAATGGTTTAATAACAGTTTTTCTGTCGTGTGTCTGCGCTGAAATGGAAGGATCATGTTCTCTGTACTTTCCTCTGTTTTACTGTATAGTACTGTATATTACTGTAGTACTTTTGAGTATCACAGTACTTCAGTTTCATCCAAAGTACAAACAAAAGTAGGAGCGACATGTTCCAGTTTGTTCCTGTAAAATTCAGTGTCGCATTTATCAACTGAAAAGAGAAAAGTATTTTATAAAAACATCTTTTTAGCAGAAACATCGAGTCTTCTCAAGTCACAGGCCTCAAGTCCGAGTCACTGACCTTCAAGTCCAAGTCGAGTCCCAAGTCTTAGTCCATTTTATCAAGTCAAGTCCTAAAAATAGAGACTTAAATCTGACTCGAGTCCAAGTCACGACTCTGGTTTATGTTATGATAAAGTAATGAAAAAGTGAAGCTGCCGAACAAAAAATGTCATAAAAAACACCTTTAAAATAAAATCAATGCAGCTTTAGAGGTAAAATTATAAAATATGTCCAAATGAGCTGAAACGTCCCGGAAAGAGTCGAACAAACGGCCCAAACTCTCTGGCCTCCGTCTGGATCAGAACCGTCAAAAATCTGAAAACGTCCACTCGGTCGATGAAGTTTCAGTCGATTTAAATTTGAATTAATCAGCAATAAATTAAGCTGATAAAAGTTTCATTTGGACGACAGCAGGAGGGAGAAGAGAGCGACAAAGATGAAGATTTTGTATTTTTTGGTATTTCTCTGTAAACTTTGAACTTTTGATTCACACGTTTAATCAGTTTTTATATAAATACACAGTGTCCTCGTGGTTTTTTCTGCATAAATAGTCGTTTGTTTTAATAATAGTTTAACCTTTGGCGATACGACGTCATGATCTTTCCGTTATTGAGTTGTTGCCAAAACGTCACGTCAAATCCGTCGACAGTTAATGAATAAATCGAGCGCAGGGCGGCGGCGGCGGCGGCGGCGGTGATGATGATGAGCTCATGATTCTGTGGTTTTGGTCTCTACTGTAAAAGTACTGCAGTAGTCCTGTGAGTCCTGTGAGTGCTGTGAGTGTGTGTGTGTGTGTGTGTGTGTGTGTGTGTGAGTGTGTGTGTGTGCGTGTGTGTGTGTGTGTGTGTGTGTGTGTGTGTGTGTGTGAGTGTGTGTGTGTGTGTGTGTGTGTGTGTGTGTGTGTGTGTGTGTGTGTGTGTGTGTGTGTACTCCAGACTGCAGGGCCCTCGGGCTTTGTTCCACGGATCTGGGTTTTCTTTGGATCGGGGCCGAGCTGCGACGGGTCTTAACACAAGACAGAGACGCGTTTGTCAAACTGCGGGGCGCGTCCCGCTTCAGGTCCGACTCGGAGCGCTTCAGGTTCAGTTTGTGACTTCGTTTGATTCACTTTTTTGTCTTGTTTTTTTGTCTTGTGCAGTTTTACTCAGACCTGGCTCCAGTATTTCAGTTTTTTATTTAGGGGCTCAGAGTTTCTCGTTTGTTCATTTTCTTTGCAATACTGGAAAAGTTTAGTTGTTTTTGTTGTTTTACGACAGAATTTGAGCTGTCGAGGGTCAAATATTATTTCTATGGCAGATTTTTGGTTAATAAAACTTCGTAGTAAGTTG